GACTAACTCACCAGACTGGCCCTGTGGTCTGACTGGTTCACCTACCAGTACATGGAACCTGGAACAAACTGGTGCCAGTTAGCGTTGTAGCCTTGCACTCATTAACTATCTGACTGTGTTTTGTGGATTTTAGGATGTTTTTGAAACAACCCGAGCTGTGGTGGTAACTGTCCAGTCTTTTTATAGTACCTCATGTGTCCCATGAGTCTATGTGCTGCACAAACATGCTCCGTGGATCCACCTCCGCTAACAAGTTAGTGCTCCACCGCCATTCAAAGATGGTCGTGTCTAAATTAGAAAGAACAACTGCAATGCTAAAGGTCACAAGAGAAAGTCCACAGTGGGTGGCATTGCTGTGGCTGCTGTGGGTGGTAACATTAAAATGAACACAGTCCATAATGCAGTTTATCTCTGAGCTCCCGGCCTTACAGCAAACAGCTCGCACTGCTTGAAACACCGCGGCAGCCTCTCTGTGGCACTCAGCTGTCACTGTGTGGGGTCACCCACCCAAATATCTCCTGCTGTGGGAGCGCTCTGCTGCAGACGTGGCGTCTCCGAGGGCAACAAAACACCAACCAGTGATTCAAAGTCTCCAACCAATCTTTTACCGACTGACACACTTTGTGTTCTTGTGATCTCATTCAGCAGTTTCAGCCACAGTAATGAGCTCTGGTGCGTGTTTCCCCCCCATACTGCAGCATCTGCACGATTAGGAGCTACAGCCCCCCCCCCGTTAGTGTTAACCTGGGATCTGGGAGCAGCTTAGCTTGTAACTGAGTGAGTGGGAGTGCGAGACCCCTCTGGGCTGTGCAGCAGTGTTGTACGTTCAGAAAACTTCAAACCTACACCAGTCCTCCCACTCAACATCTGCTTCTACACAAAGGTTAGATTGTTCTGGGTTCATAAGCTGTCTCGTCTGACTGCGAGCCAACCTGATGAGGAGCATCACACAGTCTTCCACATAAATCAGCTCCAAACTGGGCCTCAGAGATGCTCTCAGTCAGAGTGGACAGGTTTCTGTGAATCCCATTTTTCTGGGTT